ATTCACTTAAAATCAACCATTTAAGGACAATTATGCCATAAAAAATTTGAATTTTAAAACATAAATGTGGACATAAATATGCACTCATCACACCCCCACACTTATCCTTTTGCACTCCTGGGCAAAATTAATTAATTCCAAGACTTTTTTCTGGGTCATTTTATTTCATATTTACATTTAGATCAAAAGAATGAACAACACTAGACATAGATCAATCATGTAGACATCACTTTGTCATGCACATGCAAATGAAATCACTTTATTCTTCACACGTTTGACCTTTTTTGAATTCCCAAAAATATCAAATATGAAAGATAACACTCAAGTCAAAATGTATCTATTTCTCTCCAACTCTCTTTGGCTTGTGTTTACACTCAAAATACCTATGTAAATAGGCACCCTTGGTATTTAGCAAGACTCTATCATTCACATACTTCAGAAAACATGCAATTATTGATCATGAGGGCTTTTTAAAGGTTGTATTGAGGCCAAAGCAAAGGTAAGAAATTTTCTTAGAATTTCTGAGCTTTTGAAATTAATATAGAAAGAGTAATGATACTTAAAAAAAAATCTATTTCTTGCTCTTTTAAGGAAGATTTACTTTTTTTTTCTTTTTAAAACTCCAACTTTTCATCTTCTTTTTTTTTTATTATTTTGTGGGTGAGGTACTCACCTACACACTTATTCATCACTTTACTTATAACAGAATCCATTACTCCTTCTTCTTTCCTAAGGTAAGGAGCATATGATTTTTCTTCTTTTCTCATTTGACAATGACTGGAAACAAGAAAAAATAGGCTTAAGGCTCAAAGGGGTTTTCAATGGATTAATGTTAGGACAAGTTTATTTGGCCAAGTAGCTAAAACAAGAAATGCCTCAATAGCTAAAACAAGAAATGCCTCAATCATATCAAATCATGCATATTCATCTCAGTTGCACAACATAGAATCAAGCTAACTATTACAGTATCAACGAAACATGGGCAAATCACACAAGAAAAATAGGTATGGCACATGGTGGTCCATCCTTAACATTAAGCCCAAAACTCACATGGTTTCAAATTTCTTTCACAAAAGATTTAATGAGGAAATTCTCAACTCAATTAGCAAATCATAAAAGCAATCCACTCATATCAACATGACTCATTGTTTTTTCTCTTGATTCATGATCATCCTAGTTACTGATTCAAACTCTCAAATCCAATGGAAATATTTATTAAAAACAAACAAACTAGGGAACAAAATTAATTGTTTCCCCACACCCCCACACTTAAACTATGCATTGTCCTCAATGTATGCCTTATATGTAGAATGCAAAGAAAAAGTATGAGGGAACTTACCTCCTTCATGGTGGAAGGAATGGTAGTAGGACTTCATTGGAAAAGTCATCCTAGATAGGAATGTTATCTTTTCCCTTTTCAATCCTTNTTTTATCTTATATCTTCCAAATAACTAAAAGATTTAGATAATTATAACATTATTTGGAAGATATTTTCTATTGATATTCCCAAATTAAATTAACTCAACAACTGAATTTTATCTCTTAGCTTTTCAACTTTCCAAAATTGCACAAATGCCACTGAAATTTCCTCTATCTACACTGTAGCCCCTTCTGAATTTCCCAAACTTGCAACAGAACCCCTGTTTGACCAGATTCAAATCTGTTGACCAATTTTGACGAGAGAGGCGTGCCCAATGAGGGACTGACACGTGTCAGCCCCTTTCCCACCCAAAATTAGGTTTTCAGATTGAGGGGAAAGGGAGCTCTTGTGCTGTCGCGAGAATAGGAGAGGGGTTTCGCTCTCTAGAGGTGTTGGTCTTCTCATTTTCGAATTAGTTCGAGCTCGCCCTCTGTTACCTCTGCCTGCGTCACGAAAGGAGAGGATTCACGTTTTCTCTAGTGTAGTGCGAAGAAGAAAATGTCATGCTATTTGGCTCTCACTAGCGCTATTGATTTCTCTGCTCCACGATGAGGATGGGCGAGACGCCATTGGGTTCTTTGCTCCGCAATGAGGATGCGCGAGACGCCATTGGGTTCTCTGTTTCTGGGTTTGTTTGTTGGAGATGTGGTGGAGAAATTCGCGGGGTTGATGGTGGATGGAGGCGCGAAGAAGATGATGGTGGCCGTGGATGGTGATGAGCGTGGTGCACGAGAAACATGGATGAGAAGGCCATGGTCGATGTGTGTTGATGTTTGACGGAGGGGCTACTCTTACAGCGGCAACTCGACGAGGAAGATGGTGGCCTGAAGATTGATCATGAACTCACGATGAAGGCTGATGCGATTTGCATCGCGACAAAAGTGACTAGCGGCTGATAGTGCGGCGACGTGGAGGACTGGCGATGGTGGCGGCCTGACGGTAGCGGTTGAAGATGACGCCGGCACGCAGTGGCTAACGGCGACAATCTATGGTGGCCTGTAGTGGCGCGACGGCAAGGTGGTTGCTGGTGGCTGACGACGCTTAGGGTTTAGAATTGGAATTAGGGTTTGAGTGGGTGGAAGATGATGATGTGGCAGCAGGTGGTTGGCTAAATCTGTGTGTGGAGGATTTGGACACGTGGCATGATCTGGTGAAGTCTAACTAGTTAGTGGTAAGATGGGTACGGGTAGGAAAATTTAGGGGTGTAGGAGAAAAGGCTTAGTGTTAGGGTTTACTTATTAGGTCTATTTCAGAAATAGGAGTGTATGTAAGGAAATTTAGGAGGTGCAAGGGTAAAGTTTGTCTGTTTGGCCCATTTGTATATTATTTTCCAAACAAAATCTGACTTTGGGCCTTGAATTGCCTTATGGACCAATAAAACTTATATTTCAGCTGCAAAAATAAATGTAAGAATATCCAAGAATAATTTATGCACTAAAATTCACCTTTTACGTCTCTTTTAATTCCCAAAACCAACAATTCTAATCATCACAAATTCACTTAAAATCAACCATTTAAGGACAATTATGCCATAAAAAATTTGAATTTTAAAACATAAATGTGGACATAAATATGCACTCATCACACCCCCACACTTATCCTTTTGCACTCCTGGGCAAAATTAATTAATTCCAAGACTTTTTTCTGGGTCATTTTATTTCATATTTACATTTAGATCAAAAGAATGAACAACACTAGACATAGATCAATCATGTAGACATCACTTTGTCATGCACATGCAAATGAAATCACTTTATTCTTCACACGTTTGACCTTTTTTGAATTCCCAAAAATATCAAATATGAAAGATAACACTCAAGTCAAAATGTATCTATTTCTCTCCAACTCTCTTTGGCTTGTGTTTACACTCAAAATACCTATGTAAATAGGCACCCTTGGTATTTAGCAAGACTCTATCATTCACATACTTCAGAAAACATGCAATTATTGATCATGAGGGCTTTTTAAAGGTTGTATTGAGGCCAAAGCAAAGGTAAGAAATTTTCTTAGAATTTCTGAGCTTTTGAAATTAATATAGAAAGAGTAATGATACTTAAAAAAAAATCTATTTCTTGCTCTTTTAAGGAAGATTTACTTTTTTTTTCTTTTTAAAACTCCAACTTTTCATCTTCTTTTTTTTTTATTATTTTGTGGGTGAGGTACTCACCTACACACTTATTCATCACTTTACTTATAACAGAATCCATTACTCCTTCTTCTTTCCTAAGGTAAGGAGCATATGATTTTTCTTCTTTTCTCATTTGACAATGACTGGAAACAAGAAAAAATAGGCTTAAGGCTCAAAGGGGTTTTCAATGGATTAATGTTAGGACAAGTTTATTTGGCCAAGTAGCTAAAACAAGAAATGCCTCAATAGCTAAAACAAGAAATGCCTCAATCATATCAAATCATGCATATTCATCTCAGTTGCACAACATAGAATCAAGCTAACTATTACAGTATCAACGAAACATGGGCAAATCACACAAGAAAAATAGGTATGGCACATGGTGGTCCATCCTTAACATTAAGCCCAAAACTCACATGGTTTCAAATTTCTTTCACAAAAGATTTAATGAGGAAATTCTCAACTCAATTAGCAAATCATAAAAGCAATCCACTCATATCAACATGACTCATTGTTTTTTCTCTTGATTCATGATCATCCTAGTTACTGATTCAAACTCTCAAATCCAATGGAAATATTTATTAAAAACAAACAAACTAGGGAACAAAATTAATTGTTTCCCCACACCCCCAGACTTAAAATATGCATTGTCCTCAATGTATGCCTTATATGTAGAATGCAAAGAAAAAGTATGAGGGAACTTACCTCCTTCATGGTGGAAGGAATGGTAGTAGGACTTCATTGGAAAAGTCATCCTAGATAGGAATGTTATCTTTTCCCTTTTCAATCCTTCTAAGATGGTCAACTACTAAATTATGTGACCCACTTCTGTCTTGAATAGGAGTCAACTTGTCCTTCTCGTTCTTGACCATTGTGATTTTATATTTCTTGGGAACCACATGTATAGGGCCCACCCAAGTGCTGTCAGAATTTGAATATATAAGACTTGTTTGTAGCAACATGGTGTCCTTTTTCTTTACAACCCCCATCAGTTGAGGATTCAGTCTTCCTTCAGGTTGTCTCACTGGTTTGGCATCCTCCTCCAAATGTATTCTATGCATGCAAAAAGAAGGGCTAATACCAGGAATATTTCCTAAAGTCTAGCCTATTGCTTTCTTGTGGTCTCTGATCACCTGTAATAGTTGTTTTTCCTGCTCATCAGTAAGCAATGCAGATATAATAACAGGGAGTTTCCCATTCCTCTCAAGATAAGCATATTTCAAATGGGATGGTAAAGGTTTCAACTCCAAAATGGGTGGTTGTACCACAAATGGCAAAATTTTACTGCCTAAGGTAATCTCAACCACCTCAACATCACACTCGGATGCCACATAGGTATCATCTATTAATACTGCATCCTCAATATCACTTGCTTTACAATTTCCTTTTTCGTCCAAAATTAGGCATGACATATTTGGAAAAGAAAAATTGTTTACAACATCACTTGATAAGTCAATACAAAACAAAAGAATGTTCTTTAATCGGGTGCTTCCCAGCTTCCAACACGTTGAACCACACCTTCTCGTCTCCTATCGTCATTGTCAATGATCCTGCATGCACATCTATCTTGGTTCGTGCTGTCATCATGAAAGGTCTTCCCAAGATAATAGTTGTTGGACTGATTCCTTCATCATCCTTCATGTCCAAGATATAGAAATCTGCAGGAAAAATTAACTTGTCTACTCGAACAAGGACGTCCTCAAGCACACCTACAGGGTTAACTATGCTACGGTTGGCCAGTTGAATAACCACACCAGTAGTCTTAAGAGATCCCAAAGATAGAGAATTAAACACTAATAAAGGCATTACATTTATTGAAGCCCCTAAATCTAGCATGGCATTGTCAAACTTTGAATTTCCAATAACACATGGAACAGAAAACATACTTGGATCCTTGCATTTTCGTGGTATTTCAATATGCTTCTTAATCAAGCTTGACACATTTCTTCCCAAATTCACAACCTCATTATCCCTAAAACGCCTTCTATTTGTGCAAATTTCTTTCAAAAAATTAGCATATTTAGGGATTTGCTGAACAACATCTAGCAAGGGAATATTGATCTCCACCTTTTTGAAATTATTTAAGATCTCTTGGTCTAATTTCTCCATTTTTTTGTTTCTCGACTTCAACCAATTTGGATATGGAGGAGGTGGAGAATAAGATGAAGAAGAATTTTTAGAAGAAGAGTTAGAAGATACTGATCTGGATTTATCAGTGGTAGTTTCAGGTGATGGTTCACTTGGTCCTCCAATGTCATCAATTTGCGCTCCTTCTTTCTCCTTATCTTCATCCTCTTGGGCTCTTTTAGCGCTTTCTACTTGCTTACCCGTTCTCAAAGTAATAACACTTACATTTTGTGGGTTGATCACTGTTTGTGCAGGTAGTTTATTTGACTCCTTAGCCTCTAATTTTTCAACCCTCTGAATCAACTCTACAATTGATTTCTGAATTTTGCTCAATTATTGTCTTCATGAAATCTTGCATTGACATTTCAGGTTGAGCTTGCTGCCTTTGTTGAGGTGGAACATAAGGTTGTCTGTTCTGCTGATACCTATTGGAAGATGAATCATGATAATTCTGGTAAAGTCTATTTCCTCCAATCATGTTTGCAGCAAAAACTTGAGATGGTAAGTTGAAATGCAAATTCCACACTTCTTAGCAATTTGTGGAGTTCAGGTTTTAAAGAAGCTTGCAATCTGATCGAGTTTGCTTTCTAGCTTATTTAATCTTTCATATATCCTCTTCCCATCAATTGCCCCATTTTCAATTTCATGCACTCCCTTCAACAAAGTCATTGAATTTTCTCTTGTTCCATACTGTTGATTGTCTACTGCCTTCCGGTCAATTAGATCTATATGATCTTCTGGTGACCTATCTAAGAAAGATCCTCCGCTTACAGCGTCTGCCCATGACCTATCAGTAGGACTTAAGCCTTCATAAAAGCTTAGAATAAAATCTTCCATTTGGAGTTGAGGGCATGAAGCCCATAGTTTCCTGAATCTTTCCCAATATTCACTAAGGTTCTCTCTATCTCTCTGTCTTATGTCTTGGATTTCTCTACGGATGGCAGATAATCTGGATATAGGAAAATACTTTTCAAGAAAGAGTCTTTCGGTAGTTTCCCAATTTGTGATCCGTGCAGAGATATAGTACCACCAATCTTGAGCAGCTCCTTGAAGAGTAAAAGGAAAAGCTCTCATTTTAAGGCTCTCTATTGTGATCCTGAGAGATCTAAAGGTTTCCAACATGTGAAATTGTCTCAAGTGCTTGTGTGGATTCTCGCTTGATAACCCATTGAACTTTGGTAAATCATTTAACAGGTCAGGTCTCAACTCCCACTCCTCATTAAGGTATTCAATGTTATTTCGGATAACTGTATTGTGGGAGGTGGCTAACTGTCTGATGGTTCATTATGCCATATTGTTTGGGTTAGGATCAGGTAAAGGATTAGATGGTATGTTTATAACTAGAGATAATGAAGGTGGTATGGCTTCAGATGTAAGAAGTGTTCCCTTAGTAGAACACCCAAATTTCAAACTTCTTTGCAGCTTACGTAAATTCCTTTCAACTTTCGGGTTAATTTGATAAAATTGTCTCGGGTTAGCTCTAGTCATGCACTATGCAATCTTCTTGAAGTTGTTTCTCTGTTCTTGACTTCTCTTTTTCTTTTCTTTTGTTCTTGCTTTTAGATAAAGATTTGAATAAGAGATAAGAGAGACTTTGTTTGGGTTGACTCCCAAGAAAGAGAGGTGCGTCACAATGGACAACTTAAGTACCAAGTCTTTCCTAGCCAGAGTATATTTAAACTAGCCTCAAGTATTTCCCAAAAGAAATTCTTGATTAAAATAAGAACAAAGATTTTTGCTAAAACAAGAATGACTACAGGCTACAAAATAACTAAAACTAAATTAAATGTATGTGCGTTAAAAAAAACAAATAAAGATAAAAATAAAGGTAAAAATAAAAATAAAAAAATAAGAATCAAAATATTCAAAATACTAACCGTATTCCCCGACAACGGCGCAAAATTTGATACGCTGTCATTAAAGCTATCAAATTCATACTACTTTTCAAGGCAACTTTAGTATTGCCAAGTATTCAAGAAAGTAGATACGATTAAAGTAACCCTGAGTCATCTCCCAATGAATACGAAATTGCCTTTCAATAATTCAATCTTATGGATGCAATGCAATGCTCAAGAATAAAAGTAATGTTTGCAGAATGTTTAAAGAACAAATAAGAGACTTAAAAACAATTATGATGAAATAGACTAATTCCACTGTTTTTCCAAGATAGATTCATCATCGGTTATTCACAGATAATATTTCAATTGATTATTATTTAAGTTTCAAATTAATTAAAGTACATTCTTAATTAATTTGAGGGCGATCATGCATTTAACCAAAGTAAATTCTCAATCAAATGCAAAACCTTTCTAGATTATTCACAATAAATTCAACCAAAGTACATTCTCAATCAAATTTTATTGTGTTTAATCATGTCTATTCTTAAATCTCCTAACCAAATTAAAAGTTAATCAATCAAAGTAAATTCTCAATTGATTATAGTTGAAATTATTACTAATCAATCAAAGTACATTCTCAATTGATAGTAAAAACCATTTAATCATATGAAAGTTCCTAAATTAAATCAAAGTAGATTCTCAATTAAACCTAGAAACCCTAAAACTCATATAATCAATATGCATGTAGATTCAAACACATTATGATGCAAAAATCTTTGCTTTTAATTTGATAAAGAGATGAAAGACATAGAGAGAGAACAACTTAAATCAATAATCAAAATCAACAATTGCATTAACGCAATCTAACCTCAGAATCCATAATGAAATTACAGCAGAATAGTCCTAGATGCTTAGCTCTCCATGAAAGGAGTTGAATACACGATGAAAGAAAAAAAGAGAGAGAAGTGGTGAATGAATGAATGAAGTCCCTTTTCTGCCTCCCCTGGGTCTCTTTTTATAGGGCTTGGACTCTGAATATTCACTTGACATAATCTTTTATCTTATATCTTCCAAATAACTAAAAGATTTAGATAATTATAACATTATTTGGAAGATATTTTCTATTGATATTCCCAAATTAAATTAACTCAACAACTGAATTTTATCTCTTAGCTTTTCAACTTTCCAAAATTGCACAAATGCCACTGAAATTTCCTCTATCTACACTGTAGCCCCTTCTGAATTTCCCAAACTTGCAACAGAACCCCTGTTTGACCAGATTCAAATCTGTTGACCAATTTTGACGAGAGAGGCGTGCCCAATGAGGGACTGACACGTGTCAGCCCCTTTCCCACCCAAAATTAGGTTTTCAGATTGAGGGGAAAGGGAGCTCTTGTGCTGTCGCGAGAATAGGAGAGGGGTTTCGCTCTCTAGAGGTGTTGGTCTTCTCATTTTCGAATTAGTTCGAGCTCGCCCTCTGTTACCTCTGCCTGCGTCACGAAAGGAGAGGATTCACGTTTTCTCTAGTGTAGTGCGAAGAAGAAAATGTCATGCTATTTGGCTCTCACTAGCGCTATTGATTTCTCTGCTCCACGATGAGGATGGGCGAGACGCCATTGGGTTCTTTGCTCCGCAATGAGGATGCGCGAGACGCCATTGGGTTCTCTGTTTCTGGGTTTGTTTGTTGGAGATGTGGTGGAGAAATTCGCGGGGTTGATGGTGGATGGAGGCGCGAAGAAGATGATGGTGGCCGTGGATGGTGATGAGCGTGGTGCACGAGAAACATGGATGAGAAGGCCATGGTCGATGTGTGTTGATGTTTGACGGAGGGGCTACTCTTACAGCGGCAACTCGACGAGGAAGATGGTGGCCTGAAGATTGATCATGAACTCACGATGAAGGCTGATGCGATTTGCATCGCGACAAAAGTGACTAGCGGCTGATAGTGCGGCGACGTGGAGGACTGGCGATGGTGGCGGCCTGACGGTAGCGGTTGAAGATGACGCCGGCACGCAGTGGCTAACGGCGACAATCTATGGTGGCCTGTAGTGGCGCGACGGCAAGGTGGTTGCTGGTGGCTGACGACGCTTAGGGTTTAGAATTGGAATTAGGGTTTGAGTGGGTGGAAGATGATGATGTGGCAGCAGGTGGTTGGCTAAATCTGTGTGTGGAGGATTTGGACACGTGGCATGATCTGGTGAAGTCTAACTAGTTAGTGGTAAGATGGGTACGGGTAGGAAAATTTAGGGGTGTAGGAGAAAAGGCTTAGTGTTAGGGTTTACTTATTAGGTCTATTTCAGAAATAGGAGTGTATGTAAGGAAATTTAGGAGGTGCAAGGGTAAAGTTTGTCTGTTTGGCCCATTTGTATATTATTTTCCAAACAAAATCTGACTTTGGGCCTTGAATTGCCTTATGGACCAATAAAACTTATATTTCAGCTGCAAAAATAAATGTAAGAATATCCAAGAATAATTTATGCACTAAAATTCACCTTTTACGTCTCTTTTAATTCCCAAAACCAACAATTCTAATCATCACAAATTCACTTAAAATCAACCATTTAAGGACAATTATGCCATAAAAAATTTGAATTTTAAAACATAAATGTGGACATAAATATGCACTCATCACACCCCCACACTTATCCTTTTGCACTCCTGGGCAAAATTAATTAATTCCAAGACTTTTTTCTGGGTCATTTTATTTCATATTTACATTTAGATCAAAAGAATGAACAACACTAGACATAGATCAATCATGTAGACATCACTTTGTCATGCACATGCAAATGAAATCACTTTATTCTTCACACGTTTGACCTTTTTTGAATTCCCAAAAATATCAAATATGAAAGATAACACTCAAGTCAAAATGTATCTATTTCTCTCCAACTCTCTTTGGCTTGTGTTTACACTCAAAATACCTATGTAAATAGGCACCCTTGGTATTTAGCAAGACTCTATCATTCACATACTTCAGAAAACATGCAATTATTGATCATGAGGGCTTTTTAAAGGTTGTATTGAGGCCAAAGCAAAGGTAAGAAATTTTCTTAGAATTTCTGAGCTTTTGAAATTAATATAGAAAGAGTAATGATACTTAAAAAAAAATCTATTTCTTGCTCTTTTAAGGAAGATTTACTTTTTTTTTCTTTTTAAAACTCCAACTTTTCATCTTCTTTTTTTTTTATTATTTTGTGGGTGAGGTACTCACCTACACACTTATTCATCACTTTACTTATAACAGAATCCATTACTCCTTCTTCTTTCCTAAGGTAAGGAGCATATGATTTTTCTTCTTTTCTCATTTGACAATGACTGGAAACAAGAAAAAATAGGCTTAAGGCTCAAAGGGGTTTTCAATGGATTAATGTTAGGACAAGTTTATTTGGCCAAGTAGCTAAAACAAGAAATGCCTCAATAGCTAAAACAAGAAATGCCTCAATCATATCAAATCATGCATATTCATCTCAGTTGCACAACATAGAATCAAGCTAACTATTACAGTATCAACGAAACATGGGCAAATCACACAAGAAAAATAGGTATGGCACATGGTGGTCCATCCTTAACATTAAGCCCAAAACTCACATGGTTTCAAATTTCTTTCACAAAAGATTTAATGAGGAAATTCTCAACT